GGAAATACGTCAATCGTTGGGACCACCCCCATGACCCATTGAGAAGCTGGTCCTCGGAGGCGCGGCCGTATCGGTGTATCATGCAAAGCTAGTGCGCAGAGTGACGGTTAGATTGTGGGGTTGAGAGAAAGTGACCGAAAAATGAGCCAAATTGACAGGCAGGGTTCTTAAGATGATTCCCCCAAAAGTGAGCGTAATCGACAGGAGAAGGCCCGTGACACGATGACCCCGGAAAAGGTGAGAATCTCGGCACGGCGAGCGTCAGACGAGAGATCGGCGTCGTGATCGCCACCTCCTGAGGAAACACAGGATATGGTCTAATTACGCCACAAAGATGATAAGAACCTCGGGTCCTCCACTTAGGAGTATTCTGTTGTTCAGTCGCATCGAAGATATTCGTACTTGTCTTTAATCTTGACTACGCTATGGCACTTCAACCATGCAATTATAAACAATTTACCTTCGTTTCAATTGCAAATGGCACTTTCGCAGTGGACCAGGACTCAGTGGCGGAAAGAGTTGCTTGTTATCTCACCAGTGATGGCTCTGTTATAACCACCTCGCTCCAACACACCGTATTTTTCAACCATCACCTTCGGCATCACCTCTACAGTGTGTCTCAATCCTCAGTTCCTAGCACGACTGTAACTACCCCATGGCACACGATGTAAGTCGAATGAACCATGCTTACCCAACGTTTGTCTAAAATCTCGAGAATCCAGATTGATAAGATTCGTGTCTTCCGAATGGCAGACTATGGCCACTATCACTCCTTTCCCTCCTCGAGGAGGCAGAGGCGTGAGCACCACCGTACAGGGGTACTTCAATTATGACCCTGGTCGCCTGCGCGCGATGCTCCTCCCTTCAAAATCGCATTGTATGGTCCATAAAGCAATGTACAATGGGATATTTTATGTTGTGGAGGCTATGTTCTTTCTCTCTGACGCAGAGGGCTTGGATGACGATGCTGTTGGATTCGTTGACAAGGAAGGGACATTGCTGATTGAGAGCCCTAAATTCCGTTGAGAGAATAGCGGCGCGAATATCTCGCTTGTAATTGAATAGAAAGAATGCCTTTCGAAGCTTTTCGTCGTTCTGGTGAATCAATTGCTTATCCACCCAAATTGAACACGTAAGGTAGCGCAGGTATGTGAATAACACCAGCCAGGATGAAAGTGCTGAGTAAGCATTGTCCTAAGCTGACGACACCACCTGACGTCGACTAGTCAAAGAGCTCATCAGGCATCAACCAGACGACATTGTGACTGATGAGGCTGACGGATCTTCAAGCTTTCACATATCCATTCGATTCGGTTTTAATTGCGGGACTAAACTAATCATCAAAACCCTACACATATCGCTATCTGAATACAAGTCGTATGGTAAAGTCAACATCAAGACATCACACCGCCATTTCGTTGGCCTACCAAGAATACGTAGCTCCTGCCACAGGTAGAGCATCAAGTGCGACAACATGATGACTGAAGAAGAACTGGTAAGCTCTCTCCAAGCATTTCAATGACTGGTCTAATTGTGATAGCGAAGTCGCTGGCAACTTTCCTCGGCTGTAGCCTTTACAGAGAGCGACAGAAAGGTCATTCATCATTTAGAGGCAGCTTTAATGGAAAGAAGATTCGCATTTCAGGAGTGTAGTGAGGTTTTATTTCAGGATGACAATGATTCAACTATATTCAGAACTCACGGGAGTGGAGAGATGAGGCTACCCTCTGGGTTTCAGGTTCGGGCGAAAGATGGTCAAGCTAGGGTCTATTGACCTTTGGGTTCATGTAGGCGCAGCATCTATGCCACTCGATAGTCAAGGTAATAATCATCATCTGCAAAGGCGCAATATGTCCTCTTACACAAGCTGTCACGATATCCTCTGTGGGCTCACTCTGCCATTTTGAGCTTGCCACGATGGCTTCAAGGACGTCGTCACCAAAAAATGAGGCGATTTGGCTCCTGATGCCAAGCTCTAGATTGAAAGGATCTGCCTAATGTTAGTATTTACAGTTCAGGATACATTGAAAAGCTTACATATGTCAAGAATCCCGGGGCATACCCAGCCGAAGAGGTTCGCAAGAATAACCAGGTCAAAATCCATCAGCACTCTAATCTCACCATCACCATTGCCCTCCTTTGCTAAGAAGGCCTTGATGCCACCTGGTAGTGCTTTCGTGAAGAGAAGAGGAAATACGGGATTTTCAACACCTTGAGGGTCGTCCCCTGATCGATACCAGCATGGGACGCCTCGAATGGGGAATTCGACAGAGGGTATTGCCCGCGCCCTTAAATTTCGCAGAGCCAAGTAGCCTAAGTAGATAAGCTATGTGTGATGAGGAAGAACTTGAATGAATATACTCGTCATGAAATCTTCCGACGTATTCGCCTTCCTGATGACGGCGTTGATTGTATCGCATTTAACGATATCTCTGACTCTCTTTGGCGAAATGATCAACGTGTCGCGGATGAATTGATCGAGAACATCCCTTCTAACATTCTCCAGCACTTTCTGAGTAAGGCATAGACCGCACATAATCAATGAAATGGGGTCTAGACCGCGGACAAGTAAAACTCGTCGGTGAAGTCTTTCGTCTGCTGTGAAGACAAAATCGAGAAAGGTCGCAAGCCGGGTCAGGTGGGTTTGATGGATATCCCACTTATTCATGGGAAGCAGTAGCACTGCTGCCTCAGTCCTCACTAAACATTCTCTCAATTTCTTTTCTGCTGACTTGAGTGAGTCTTGGGATAGGTCATGCGGCTGATAGTTGATCAAGGCTTCTTGCAATAAGTCTTCCATGGAGTCGAACGGTACGAGTCGGAGTCGGCGTTGGTGGAGGAACAACAAGACAGAAACCCTGAGAATGAAAGAAAAGTGGTGGATGAATGAGAAAAATGACGGGGGCGTAGGGGAGATGGTTAGGTTTAAATACTTACCATACCTAAGGTGGGTGTATAGGTAGGTAAGGTACCTTCGTAGATGCCTTTCCTTCATCTAGTGGGCGCGAAAAGCGACTTAGCCTACTCTGAATTGGGCAAAAGAACACCACTCATTGCGATGACCTGCGACTCGGTTAATCACATAGGGTACAGGGTGAATCTAATTAAGAACTCTACCTTGGATGACACGACCATGTATCTGCCACTTAGAGTGCTCTCACCAGGCACATGCATGACGTTCAATAAAAGCATATGCTGGAAAGAATGACGGTCCTACCCGTCCCTGACCCATTAATTGTTAATAACGCGGTAGGGAACGATTTGGAGCAATCATATCGGACAATTCGCAGAAACGATCCAGATGGCGCTCCAATATTCAGTTGAGCCGGTCCTCCTCCTTGGGCATTCAACGGCAGTATGTTCTGTCGGTCGAGCAGACGGGAAATCATAGTCTTCCGCACCTCGCGAAATTCGTCAACGATCCGGATTTCAAGGGCATGGTTCGCGTCGAAGTGGCCGATGTCAACTGGGAGGACGTGATGGAGAGAATTGACATACCACGAATTTCTTGCAGTCCAGTACGCAAAAGGTCGAAAAGAGATATGTATAACGCGTCACTCAAATCGATACTCAAATCCATATCCATCACTCGAATCCATCCCTCAAATCGATATCCATCACTCAAATCCATATCCATCACTTAAATCCATCACTCAAATCCATATCCATCACTCAAATTCATCACTCAAATCGATATCCATCACTCAAATTCATCACTCAAATCCATATCCATCACTCAAATTCATCACTCAAATCCATATCCATCACTCGAATCCATCCCTCAAATCGATATCCATCACTCAAATCCATATCCATCACTCAAATTCATCACTCAAATCCATATCCATCACTCAAATCCATCACTCAAATCCATCACTCAAATCCATCATTGAAGCTCATCATCCGAGTTCAATACCCAACCCAATCACGCAAGCCCAACCCATCACTCAAGCCCGTCACCCGTCACAGTGCAAGACCATGTCTTGACATTGGCTTCTCACTTCCCTCGCACACTCAGACCTATCTTGATCATTATTAGTTATGTCATAAGGCAGCGATTTTCGAATTCGTGGGCGCGAGCCTCTAAATCACTAGGATCGAGCCTTCCTTCTATGCTTTTTGTGTGCACTTTGTTCATGTCAATGGAAGCCTCGACCAAATCGACAGGCAAAGACATCAAGGCTGTCTCGGCAATCGCTGACAAAGCTCTCTGTGTTACGGAAAAGTCTTTGCTGGGAATGTATCAGTGCAAGAAGAACTTTGAGCGCAAGTTACCTGCATTAGAGAATCTACCTTGGCTCCGAACATCAGAACTAGTAGCAGCGATGCCTTCGTAATGGCTGAGTATCTTCTGCCAATGCGAATTCGCCTCCTTAATAGTGTTCTTAAGGTTACTGAGTGTTCTGACAAAGGCTGGGCCTGCATGTAGGTGTCAAGCGCATTGCTGGCGTCTCCTCTACCAGTTCTGCCTTGAAGTGTTCCAGTTTGACGCCTCACTCTCATTACTTTTGTAA